CTTAATAGAGACAGCAGTAGGTTTGAGCTTTGACTTGTTTCTTTTACGTAGCTTTGCATTTAGCTTGGGCCAAACCCACCTTTTCAGAGTCTGCCAGGCTTTGCTTCTTCCAGTACTTTTAATGGTAGCTTTGTAGTTTTTTAGAGGATATAAATTGTGAGAGAAACTATGGGGTTGGATCAGTTGCTTTTTATTTTGCCAGAATTTGGAAACCTATTTATAGACATCGAAGTAGACATTGGGAATTCTGGAAAGAAAAGAAACAATTCATAGCTTTTCAGGGTACTTGTCATACAGTGAGAAGTAAAAACAGAAGAAAAGGGCATATGCATTGATTCTAAATTCAAATAAACTAAGATGTAGGTTAATGTGAGAACTACATTCAAGATATTTCTACCCAAATTAAATACCAGTGAATTAGCTGTTAATGAGGAGAGATCTGTGAAAGCAGGGATAGATGCATTTGATGAAGATATAAAATAAAAATATGAAGAGAGAAGAAAATAACCATTTTAATGACATCTTGGGAAACAAGTGAAAGAGAAGTGGATACTAAGGAATTGGTATAAATTGTGACAGAAAAATTAAGTGGAAATCAATATTTCCTCAATTCCACAGTAAGAAAGAAAATAGAGTTTAGCAGACATTACAACTGATAATGGACTTTAAAATAGATAGAAGGTTGTAAAAAAGGGCCCAAATGAGAGGCAGTGGCTTTTTCCAGGCTCTGATGGAACTGAGTTTGGTGTTCCAAGTACATGGTTTGAAAGGAGATGGGATGGGACAGGTTCCCACTGAGCACGGGGAAAACAGGCTTTATGGGCTTGCAAGTAATGAACTGGCTGAGGGTGTTTAGGATGAGCTCAGTGAATTGTCACTGAGTTTTTGTTGTGATGGATATGACCATTATCCTGGCAGCCCAGACAGGAGCAAAAGCGTGTTGATGCCTTGCAGTGCTGGGGAGCCAAGAGCTGTGAAAAGCAACAGTTGACAACAGGATCGCGTGGGACTCCGAGAAACCATGACAGAGGAGATTAAATGATCATTTCAGACACTGGAGAGATCATTAAAAAGCAATAGAGACGCTAAACAGAACTTGGATTTCTGCCTTTTCCCCTCTCTCACATGCTCTGAAATGACAGAGGCTTTTAAGGCCAGAAATTATGGTGAACAGACGCTTCAAATGATACTTTTATAATGATGTTTAAAGAAATAGATCTTCCCCACCCTTAGTAATGTGATCTGCATCTCCCCTCACCTCACAACTGTGATTAACCCTGCCCTACCCCAAACATCTTCCTTGTTCCACCTGCTCACACTCACTGGAAAGCAGAGGGTGGCATTTGGCTTTTAAATAATAAAGAAAAGGCAGAAAAAGCATAAAGAAAGATAGTGGCATAAAGTGTCATAACCTGTTGAAAAGATTGACTCTGAACTGAGAACCACAGACAGCTCCTGTGCCATCTGTTAGACCCGGAGATATCTGGCACATGGCTGCAGCAGTGTCAGGTGGAGAAGCTACAGGAGACATTCTAAGGTCAGGGATGGGATAAAAACAGAAAGAGAGGATGCTGTGTCTGTGTCAGGTGCCAGAAATGGTTTCCTGACCAATACCAGTTTGATGGGGAGAAATAAAGAAACACCCATAGTGCTAAAAGGAAATACAAAAAATTCTGAATAACCACAGAGGGAATAAAAAGGAAAAGTGAAGTTGAGGCTCTGCTGTGGTCCAGGAACAGCAGCAGCTGTGTGTGTGTTGATGAGCGAGGAGGGTGACTCCTGAAATACAATCTGATGGTTGTAAACACCTTCCAGGAGGCATTTGTAGGAATTTAAAGGTCTACGAATCTCAGGGGACTTGGACTTGGCATCTACTCATCAATGCCAGCCATAGCCCTGGAAGAGATCTGTCATCCTACCCATGAATTTGGCCCAAAGATTGCCAGTTAAATCTTTTGTCGTTGAGTGGCCATTCTTAAAAATATAGCTCTTCCCTCTCTTTTAGTCTACTGCTACTAGGGACAAATTTTGTATTTGTTTAGAAAGTTCTCTATCAAACACTGCCTTGCTTGTGTGCTTGGCTGCCACCTGCACAAACTTGTAAGGGATAAGATCATTACTGTATACCTGAGATTTTAAGGTATTAGAGTATATACAATGCCAGCAAAAGGAAAAATAGCTTTATTTTTACAGTAAGTTCATCAAATATTAAAATCAACTATTTAAATTCAGTTGTAGTAACAAAAGAAGGTGAATTCTGGATCACAAAGTAGGGAGGAAAGTATTGTAAAGCAGACGTAGAAAATAGAAAAGATGGTAAGAGGGAGAGATTCATTTAGTTGAATATTTTTCAGACTAATAATTACATTTGAAAGGCCAAAGAACGTGCACTCCTTACGGTGCCCATGATTGGAGAGGATATGGAAGTATTTGGAATTTGACTTGATGAGTAATTTCTAAATGCAAATCCGTGGTGGTGGAAGCTATCAAATTAGAGCAAGGTCAGCTGGGCTCCACTAATTCACACCAACTGTGGAGCACATTCAAATTAGTTTCCATCAGTTGTGAACCTGGGTCAGAGCTCATTTTAGACAGCAATCCCTATGGAAAGGACCCAGATGTCAGCAACAGAAAGGCAGTAAGGCAACTGGTTTGCTTTAGTTATGGCAGAATTCAGGGGACCTGGGCTTATTCCTGCTGCCATGTATATGAAGAAATCACTCCAGAAGATTTAATGGATGATTCTGCAAAGTTCATTCAGTTGTCCTGGGCTGGCAGTTAATTTTTTGCATCACTAGAAAATTTAAAAGCCACATCTGCTGTTACAGGAAAGACAAATAGTACTGAGAGGCTGAGCTCCTGACAGGAGGGAAATCCATGGACAGAGCTCTGAAGGACTTAATTATCTTTAACTGGCCTTTGTTTGGAAGGCAATTACTAGAATTTTATGAAAATACCTCCTGAGGAGGCATTAGAAATATAGAGCTGTAGCACACTGTATTTATCAATATCCTTTTGTTATTTTAAAAGAGAGAGTGGAGAAAACCCCAGGTTCCCACTCTCCTCCCTCTGCCATGTGCTGGCTAAGGAGTTCAGTGCTGGAGAAAGCTGGGCAAATGTTGCTTTAGTAATTGAGTGGTCTTTTTAGATTTGCTAGTTTTTTTTTTTCATTATACCATAGAAACTTTCAAAATATTTTTCTCTGAATCTGATCTTAAATCCATCAGTTTGTGATTTGTACATTGCACTTTGAAGGCTTAGAGACTCTGGAAAATACACCATTCTGTTCTAATCCTGAGCACTGAGTTACTTACATTGCTACATTAATGGTAAAGGGTTTAAAGTTTGTTTCTGTAAAATACACATTACCTGATTATTGTTCTACCTGAAATGAGCTATTTCATACAGATACATATGAAATATGAATATAGAAATATTCAGGTTTATTTATTTATTTATGGCTATATTTGTTTATATATGGCTCTTTTAATGTTGTTATACTTTTGATACATACATATTTATGGAAATATACAGTCAGACACTTTTATGGGCAGTAAAACTTGGTGGGATTATTTCTTGTGGAGCAAAATATCTGTAGGACCTAAAAACTAATTTTGCACCTCTGCAAAATATTTGCTGTTCAAGAAGGAGTTGAGAAATCGCCATCACTTCTAGTTGTTCACATTCTGATTTGTTGAGGTCACATCTGTGCTCCCCTCTGTTCTGTGCAATAAAATGTGTATTTTTTTTTTTTTAATGTGAATCTAAAATGTGTGGTATCACCTGAACTGGCTCTGATCACACCTGGGCACCGATTTCACATAGTGAAAGTATGTTTTCTGAACTCTCTGATGACAGAAGTCAAATCCAGAGCACTGGCAGGATTGTCTGATGATTGAACGGACCTTCCAGTACTGGAGCTGCAGTGACTTGTAATTCAGCAACGACCCCACGAAATCTCTGCAGATACTTTCAGATGTGGTTTAATGGTCATTGCCATGTACTAGACCAGGGGCACAAGTGTTAATTTTACATTCATCTGACACAGTTGAAAATGGATTATTATGTAATTAGGGATAAATATGCCCCGTTGAAATAACTATCCCAGTACTGACACCATGAGCCAGCTGGAGCTCTACCTGCAGTGCTGGTGCTCTGTACAGGGAGGCTTGGCCAGAGAAGTGTTCATCTTATCTCAGGCATCATCTGAGTGCTGTGTGAGTCAGGAATTACCTCCCCTCTGCTGGGGCTCCACGAGCTGTTATCTCTTGTTCTCATTGATTAGGGCCAGGAGGAAGTCCTGGCATCACTGGCTGGGTGGGAACAGAAGGGAAGGAAACACAAGCAGTTGGTTCAGCCTGCAGACTGGGGGGATTCAGATGAGATTCCCGTGGAAATCCAAACTGCAGTAATCAGAAAGGAAGCCCTGAACTTTTCACTCATAGGTGCTATATGTCCTTGCATGCTTGGAGACTGCAAGCAGCTGCTCTAATGTGCTTTTTGCTTTATCATCTTCTTCTATACCCAACTTTTTTACCACATGCAGAAAGAGGAAATCCCTGAAGTGCTTTCTGTAAAAGAAGGCCAGGCAGAACAGATAGCAATTGTAGTGCAGATAGTGTTTATTTAATTTGATTTTCATGTACCCTTCATTTTCTACTGTCTTTTCCATTCTCATTTCCATCTGGAAGGCTGGGAAGGCAGCTGGCTTCCCAGCAGACACCATCTCCACAATTAGGGAGCTGGCATGCAGCTTTGCCTCCCTGTTTGGGGAGCCTGTCTGCCTTGCTGCCCTCCTGGCACACTTGCCCACTCCAATCCACTTGCACAGGGAACCTGGCTGCCCCTCCTGGCCCAGGGTCAGCAATGTGAGGGTTCCACTGGCTCTGGAGCAGCAAGGACACCATGTATGAGCAGGCAATAGCAGACACATGGATTTAAAGCCAGTTTCCTGGGTTATCAGTGCCCTTCCCTCACCTCTGAGGGAAATGTGTTGGGTATTCCTTTGGGGTGTCCCGTCAGGGTGGCACAAGGATGCTCTGCTTGTCCTGCTGACTGCAAATCAGAACATGCTCCTGTTCCCCACATACCTTTCTGGGGGATGTGTCCTGCTGCCTGGAACCTCTGAGCAGCTCTGATCTCTCAGGCTATTTTTAATCCTTCAGTTCTTCAGTGCAGTTCCTCTCCTCTTCTGCTTTAGGTTCACATAACTCAGAAATACTGTGGACTTCAGCTATTGCCAAAGATTTCTCTGATGTTCAAAGCCCTTTCAAAGCTTTACTGCATTTTCCTTGCTATTCTGAGAACCAGCAGATCGTGATCCTTAGCTACTTGCATGTCCTGATGTTGGCTTGCCTACAGGTTAGAGAATTATAAAGTCGCTGTTCTAATTTAGGGGAGCTGGATGATTGGAAATCTGGATGAGGGAAAACAGAAGGCAAGCAACAAGCAATAAACTTATATAACACAGACACACCTGGAGTGTGAGTGTATTATATAACACAGGATCTCTCAAGCCACAAAATGTCACAGAAATTATTTGAACAGAGATTATTTTAGAACTGATAATTGTGGTTCTTGCTGAAATTCCTGGGTCAGCAGTTTTATTTCTCTTTTCTAGTAGCCTGTGTCCTTTCCTCTTCCCCTTCCACTTTCCTGTAGTATTGCAGAGCTGCCCAGCGCTCTGTCAAAGGCACCACAATCAGTTTTTGGGACCCATCCTACAGGCTTACAGCCATATCTGTCCCCCAGAAATATTGCACATAACTTGGGATCTCCAAGCTGCCACCAGCCATGTTACCTTTGTCATTAAACCAACTGAGATTCAACCAGAGGATGTTCCATACTCTGTCACAGAGTGAGCATTTCCTTAACCCTAATAATGAATCATGATGGACTCTTCTAGGTTAGTGTTATAAACATTTAAGCTTTTTGGTCTTACCATATTTTTCATTGAGTTTGGTTTGGCTTGGTTTTTTTCAGAAGGTCTAAAGATAAAAGGTTAAGAAGGCAAAATCCAATTATATTTAGGAGCTTCATGCTGTTGTCTCTTAGTAAATCCAAACCCAAGCATAGATTTTTACTTTTCCACCTTCCCTTCTGTATTCCTACAACAGTTACCTAAAGAGAACGGAGCATTTTGTACACACCACTTACTGACACCAGTTATTTTTATCTTTTGCTTTCTCCAGCAAACAAGCCTTGTTATCTTCCTTGTACAGAAAGCAGCTCCAGGCAGGGGAAAGGGCCACCCTGGAGAATTCAGCAGGTGCCATTCTGCATCTTGGCACTGCCCTAAAACCAGAGAACCAGGGGTGGACAACAGACCCCACCCTTCAGCATCATGCCTTTACTCACTCCCCCCCAGCCTTCCAGCCTCTTCACTTCCCCAGAACAGCAATGTCTGGGGTTTGTTTTCTTGTGAAAGGGGAGATAAGAGGCTGATTCTAAACCAAATTCTAATTAATTTGAACACATAGATTGTTATGCCACCAAGCCCAGCTCCGACTCAGGCAGCATGTGGGGTTTTTATGCTAGAGCACAGGTCTTCCTGGGATGTTTAGTTTTCAGAGCATCTTATGTGGTTCTTAGTTTTTGATTCTGCAGACATAATCTACAGCTTAAGAAAGTAAATATTTCATTTAATTATGGTGAATTAATCCAGAACCGATTTCTGTGGTTATTTCATCTCTTCTGGAAAGTGTAATGAAATCTAACAGATCAAGAAAAACTTACTCAAATTATTCTACACTTAATGACAACTTTTACCACCTCCTTTTTCTACCATTCCTGGAGCAGAGGTCACCAGCCACAGGCCAATGAGTTTTAATAATCTTGGCCAGAAGCTGTTTTTCTTCCCCTTCATGCTTGAGGAGGGGCTGGAGGTGCTTTGCCACCTCCTCCAGGCAGATCCTCTGAGTGTCCTCCACCTGCTGGAATCCCAACCTTGTGAAGTTTCTGGTTGCTGCTGCATGTTTGATATTACATCTGCCCAGCAAAGAGCACTCCAGGTGTTACCTGACTTCAGATTTTACTACAAGATTTTTCTCCTGGTCCTGTTGCTCATTTGAAGGCCTTGGCCAGGTTCCAAGGCAGTAATTACATTCTGTCGGGCTCATTTTCCTGCCATTCCCCCTGCAGATGTTATTTGTCACTCCTTGCAGGAGTGCAGAGTGGCACTGCTCTGCAGTTCCCAATGCAAGCTGAGCCTTTCCTCACAGGCCGTGCAGAAGTGGAAAAGGGTGTGATTGAACAGTTCTGGGGTACCAAACCCACCCCTGACCTGTGCCTGTGCCCATCTGACAAACTGAGACACAGAGGAGTTTGGAAAAAGCTGTTTACACTTCATGACAATGCCAGTGGACTCATTGGCACAAAAGACTTTTTCTAACCCAGCACCAATATTATACATCAGAGTTCACTTCAGTGATCACAGATATGAGAACTTAAAAATAGCACTTCTCCAATAGTTATTATTAATACCTGCTGTTCACATAGCCTTTGGAAAAAACCCTGATATAACCAACAGATTTGATGGAAGTGTCGCAGAATTCCATAAAAATTAGCTATGTAGAAGTGGATTGGAAATTATTTTCTTGTTGTAATGATCATAGTCTTGAAAACTTAGAAAGGTAGGAAATCTTGTAAGATTTTTTTCCCCCACTATACATAGTTTGCTTCCATCTCTTAAAGATGTTCTTTCATAATATCTTTCCAATGTTTAGTTCTAGTACAGGGGAAAAGTGCCCAGTACGTGAACTGTGATGCTCTTTTGCTGTACCTTCTGCCAGAGCCAATATCTCAGAAGGAAAAAGAGCCCTTAAAGGCTTTACAGAACCAGTCTTGTGGTTCTTTCTCATGTAAGTACTTGGGAAGATGTTGTGATACAACTGCAGTGCCTCCCAAGGCATTGGCTGTTCTGCTGAGAGGCTATTGCATTACACTGTGTCATGGAATGTTTCTAAATAATAAAAGCAATATCATTTTCCAGCCTTCTCTTGGCACTTGGGCTGCTCTGTGGGGTATTCATTAGCATGTGAGAGCAGAGCCTGGCTGCTTGCTCAGGCTCCTCTCCTCCACTGATTTAAACCAGACTGTATATATCTGCAATTCAATGAAGAACTTGCATAAAATTAAATCCCTCTACCTTATTATTTTTCTCCTGCATCTCAAAGCCCTTGTGAGAAATGCCTTAATTAAAGAAGCATCACCACAGCTTCAGCTCCAGTCACATGGGTTAAAACTCTAGAGTTGACATGATACTCTTCCCTGCTCTGTAAAGAGAAAGAAAGTATTGAGAGAGAGACAAGATGAAAATATTCTCTCCCCGTGTCAGAAATCTGATCTTGTAACAAGTCTTCCTTTGTACTTTTGCTCCTAAACCTCCCCTTCCACCCAGCACCGTCCCTGCTGTGGAGAGCAGCTGCTTTGAGAGGGGAATGTTTGCCACTGCTGGGTTAGGACCTCTCACACCTTTCTCTGCCATTGGAACTGGAGTGGTGCCCATGTTTGTTCTCTGTATCCTAAGGAAAATTCCTGGTTTGTGTGACCGATTACATTTAACTTCTGTTGAAGAGATTTACCACTCACTAAGCACAGTACTTGTGTAAAACAGAGCTGAGTACTACCCTGGAATAGATCAGTGTTCTGACTTGATTCTACAAACCCCCCCAAAAGCCAGAAGTTGGACTAAAGTCAGCATCAGCTGTTCAACCTTTACTGATGCCAGAATGGAGTGGGAATGCTCTGAAGTCGTGAAGACTTTCAGACCAGGGGGTAAATGAGGGTCTGTGGACTCAGCCCCTGTTCCAGCCAAGCACCTGTGCTGAAGTCCTGCTGTGGTGCAGTGTCCAGCACTCAGGATTGTCTGTGGGTCACTGGCCAGAGCTGGGGCAGAAGGTTTCACTTTCTATCTCACATCACTTCTTACTCAGGGCTGATCACACAAATACTCTGATTAGAGGGGAACACACAAACGGGGTATGTTCAAACAAATTGATTTATGAAGTGATTCATTCTGGGAGATTCCTGATTGAATCAGAGCCATAGTAAAACCTTATCTCCCTCTAGAGTTACATCATAGAGTTGATGTTCTGCAGATGGTGTGAGGCTCTACCATATCTGTGTTGTTTTCAGCTCTCCCTGTTGCACCATTTTCCAACATTACCTCATTAGACTGATAATGAGTTCACTGGGTACCCCACCAGGGAGCTGGGGTGGAGCTGCAGTTTAATAGGTTAATATTTGCACAACAGATTTGAAAAGTGTATCTTGGAGGGGCCAGCAGAAGGGATGGTCTTCAAATTGTCTGTCTCTGCTCAGCTTCAGGTACCTTCATTAAGGAACATTTAAAGATAAGATACCTTCTAATTATGCTCAAGGAAGAATAGAATGTACAAAGAAAAAGGAGAAAAAACCCACACCCAAACAAAAACCCAACAAAAGCTTGCTTTTCTATTTTTTCTAATTATTCATGATATCCTAGTGAAATTTTTAACCATAAAATTTCCTTCTGTCAGAGCATATTTGGGCTTTCAGTTGTATTTTAACAAGTTCCACTGTAACAACTGAGTGTTTGTAGCTGGACTTTGGGGCAAATATCACTGTATTTGCTGTCTGGTGGAACAGGCAGTTTACTTTCTCAGCAGAGCTGCTGTGGAACTTTATCAATTACTGTTTGTAGATAACTCTGAGGTTGTAAAGCAGAAGCTGGTAGAGAGCAGCAAGGAACTGTCACTTTTTTGACACTGCAGGAAATAAATCCTGGAAATGCTGTTCTCTGCTTATCGTGCTGGGGACAATTTGTGGGGATTTGTTTCTTGAATGCTCCTTGAGCAAGTAAAATAAATGTATTCGTTGAGGATGCAGTAAATGACTATAGTTCTGAGTAATTATCTTGAAATCTTTCCCAAATGCCACAGCTTTCAAAAAGGTATCATATAGCATTTTCTTCAAATGAAGAGCCTCAGTAATTATTCATCCTTATTTTCCCAGGTTTGTTAAATGCTTCAGCAGCCTGATTCTGGCAGAACAAAGGAAATGCAATAGAAATGTAATCATATATTTGTGCTGCAGTTTTGGCCATGTCTCTGCATTTCTAGAAAAGTGAATGCCCATTAAAATCATCTATCCTGATGCAAACACAAACAGCTGTGGCTCTTGTGTAATTCTGAATACTTTTCTATTTAATTTATCTATTTATTTAATGTATTTAATTTATCTATTAACTTAGTTATCTATCTGAAAAAAATCTATTTGCCACGATAGTGTGAAAATACTCCCAAAAAACTGGCAGATA